TGGGCAGGGAGAAAAGTGCAACAATGAATGACTGGAAACCCTAAGTCTCTGTAAACTTTCATTAAAATTAATAAAAAACAAGGAAACCATAATCGCTACCCAAGCAGACATATGCTCTCCCATGTTTCTTGCTGCTTTGTTTACAATAGCAAAGAGTTGGAAACAATCTAAATGCTCATCAAAAAAACGAATGGATAGAGAAGCTGTGGTATATTCACACAATGGAATACTATGCAGCATTGAAAAACAGGGAACTCATGAAGTATTATACAAAATGGGTGATCCTGGAGGACATTATGCTGAGTGAAATATCTCAGTCACAAAAAAGACAAATACTTCATAATGCCACTGTTGTAGAACAGGGCTGATATAGGGGTTGGGGGAAAACAGAAAAGAGGGGATAAATAATGTACATGACACTGAAAGAGACAAGGAGAGAACTGTATAAAAAGAATATATGATTAGGTATTATTGGCATGACAAGAGTCCAGAATAGAGAGTTGCATAGTAAAGTGGTCTGGGGGTGGTGAAGGGGGGACTGTATACCAATGAAAGAACTTTTTTTCCAGAGGAAAAGAGCAAACTGGGGGAGAAGGGGGGACAGGGAGGGAAATGTTCAACAATGAATGAATGGAAATCCATGTTCTTTATAAACTTTCATTAAAACAAAACAAAACAAAAAACAAAAAAAAGAAATGGGAAAGCCAGAATATTCCAGAGGGTCTGCTGGAGAGAATTCTATTTATCACATAAGAACAATCCACAACTGTTTCATCATCATTTCTCTTTCCCTTCCTTTCCTCATTCTCCTATTCTTGTTATTGGTTTGTTTTTTTAACTCAAAGTTGGAAACTCTTATTTATGTGTTAAAAACACACCAGTGGAAATCATGACTGACAAAAAAGACAGGCCACAGATTCTGAATGTCATGATGATTATTTTTAGTGTCAGATCAGTGAAGGCATCAGTGTTACTGCCTTCACACAGCGTGAGGCGAAGACGACCCCAAGGGGTAATCTCACCATATCCTACTGCATTGTGAAGGTGACAGCGTCAGCGTGGAGGTCTGTATAGTTAAAAGTGTAACACACAGCCATGCTGACTCAGGCAACAGCACTCGACTTCCTACTCTTTAGAAGTTTCTGAACACGACGTGTTCTGCCAGTGCCTTATCTCCAGAAATGCCCACAAAAGAAATTCCTGTCTCTGCTTCTGAAAAATATCAGGACTAGTTGGGGAGGCTCTTCAAGCATAAATGCTGTGTGAAAAGCATACGTTAACAAGGTGGGTGGGTACCACCTTTCATTTGTCATTTCTGACACCCACAGTGTGATAGGTGCCAGAAGGTAAATGGACTCGATCAGCTGGGTCGCTCAAGGGTTAGGAGGTGACGAGGGAGGGACGGAGAGGTATTCTACAGGACAAAAACCACTCAACAATGGCCCCCTCTTCCTTTTGGGGGCTAACTGTGGGAGAATGACAATTCTGCAGGAATGCAAGGCCCTTTGCCCACAAGAGCCCCAACTTCTCTTTTGTACCAGGTTAATTTCCTTGAAACAAATCCATCTGCAACCACTGCCCCCTGGAAGTGGAAGCAAAGGAAGCAGCTGTACTTACGATCCGTTGCCATGCCAACATAGATGCATTTTTTAAAGCGACATTCCTGGCACTGGTTTCGCGTAACTTTGTCTATAACGCATTTTCCTTCATATTTACAGGAATAGGACGGATGGAGATTCTTCTGGATGGTTCTTCTAAAGAAGCCCTGGATGAAAAAAAAAAAGGCCCAAGTTAACAGCTTCATCATTTCTAGAAATAAATGACTCCCGATTTTGTGACCACACGAAGATGAGAGAAATTGTGCAGGACTTAAGTATATATGGACCTCTGGACACCTGCTGAAGCGTCAGACCGCTGGTTCAAAGGGAATGTGCAGAATCTGAAGTCTGAGCTGATGGGAAGTCACAGAACTCCAGGCTGCTTGTATTCGAGGAAGAGAGGCTCATGGTTCAATCTGACATTTGCTATTATCTTTTGCCTAAATGTCTGAAGCTTCATCTGATATACTTTGGACATGTTGCAAGACAGGATCAGTCCTTGGAGAGGGACGTCATGCTTGGGAGGGTGGAGGGACAGCGCAGGAGGGGAAGACCCTCAATGAGGGGGATTGATTCAGTGACTGGGGTAATGCGGGTTGGATGGGGGTGGGTGTGTTTGAGACAGTGAGATTGGCACAGGACAGAGCAGGATATAGGGCTGTTGCACATAGGGTCGCTAAGAGTCACAGGCAACTCGAAGGCACACAACAACAACAACAACAACAACAACAACAATATTTGAATGTTGTTATGTGTGCAACCAATTCATAGGTGACTTTTCAGAGAGCTGGTTTTCAGGGTATCTTTAAACCACACAGAAGATTTCCCATCTTTTTCCCACAAAGCAGTGGGTGGATTTGAACTGTGTGCTTTTGGGTTGGCCACACAACTCCTTACCACTAGGCCATCAGAGTTCCTGCAAACACTGAATAATATGACTAAGGGATGGTACTTACTTTTACCGAGTTTCCTAACTGTATTGCTAACTTAAGCCCCGAAGAGCTTTGCTTTATAATGAAGAATAAAGGAGCTGGGGCCTTATGATATTTTATTACTTAATCATCTTCATAATTAGATGGATGCATTCACTGCTTTAGGGATTCAGTTCAAGTTTTTGACCTTGTCCATGACCAGCTAGGACAATCCTTTAAATGAAGAAGTAACTAAATGAACTCATTGTGCTTAGAACTGACTCTGCTGAACTCCGAGTGGGTTTTCATAGGCTGTAAACTGTCCATCTGATTACTCATCTTTCTACTAGGGAGCAGCTGGTGGATTCGAACTGTACATATTTAGGTTGGCAGTGCAACTCCCTACCCACTGGGCCACCAGAGCTCCCCTTTGAAACAGCAGTAGTAACGTACTAAGAAATTCCAGGTCTCTACTGACATTTTCCCACAATGCATTCCAAGTGGTTTTTTATCTTTAATAATATTTTGGGGTTGGAGGAGAAAAAAAAAAACACCACAAACCAACAACCCAGTAGGAGAGGAAGACCCTCACCCAGGTGGATTGACACGGTGACTGCTGCAATGGGCTCTAGTGTGTCAGGAAGTGTGAGGATGGCGCAGGACAGAACAGAGTTCAGATCCACTGTACAAAAGGTCACTGAGTCATACTTGATTCAATGGCACATAACAACAACAATAAGAATAACTGTTTACATACACCAATGTTCACAGCAGTGTTATTCACCATTGCAATAACATGGAAACAGCCCAAATGTCCAACCACAAACGAGGGGACTGAGAAATCATGGTACATTCACACAATGGAATACTATGCAACACGCAGGAGCAATGATTTTGTAAATTATTAGCTAATTTGGGAGGGACTGGAGAGCATTATGCTGAGTGAACTAACTCAGTCCCTCAAGGATAAAAATTATATAAAACCATTATTGTAGAATGAGTATAAGGATCCAGGAGGGGTGGGAGAGGCTGGAAGCAGAGGGATGTGGATGTGCAGGGGGAAAAGGGGATTAATCAGTGGGTTGTACAATTTGATGGGGGGGGTGAGGGAAATTGAAAGAATGTGTTTGATTTGCATTTGAATTTTGTAAATAAACTAATAGAAAATAGAAAGAAAATTTAAAAAGGAAGTAACTAGCTATTTTAACTTTTTTTTCACGTACAGTTTAGTGACATTGATTCTATTCATCATGTTGTGATTCTTTCCCTCTTACACACACTTTTAAGTTCAGTATGTTTTCCCCTTAAGTCATTTTTAGACAGATGTGGGCACAGACCACTCTCGAGAGCGCCCGTCAAGGTTTCTAGAGAATTTTTCTGAGAATTCCAGGCTTTGGTCCATGCCTGGGAGACACACTGTGACATTCTAGGCAGTGTCCTCTGCTGGCGTCTTACCTGACATCCCCTTCAGCGTTTGTCAGCAGTGCTTCTGTATGGAGGCATTATTGTGAAAGCACTCTGTTCAGTGCTGAAGCTTTATTCTAACTTCCTCCCAACCTAATAAAAGATGTGCTCCTAAATCCTACAGACTGCCAAGCGGACACAATAGTCCTGGTGAAGGTGCAGCCAGAGTGCTCCCTGGAAAGAGACATTAAGTTTGGGAAGGTGAAAGGACAGCGAAAGAGAGGAAGACCCTCAACCAGGTGGACTGACACAATCACAGTAGCAAATGGCTTGAGTGTGTCAGGGATTGTGAGGATGGCACAGGCTAGGACAGGGTTCAGGTCTGTTGTTCACAGGGTCATCACGAGCTGTCCTTGACTTGACAGGACCTAACAACAACAAGATGTCAATGGTAGGAACTGAAGAAGCTTCTGAGAGGTCAAATCATTTGGCCCCAATAACACAGAAGATGTAAGCCTGAACACAGCTTAAAACCAGAGAGTTGGACTCTAAACCTTATTTGCTTACCTGCTTAAATAGAAGCCAATTGTATAGATTTTTTAAAATTCTTAAACAAATTATTGTCTCTTCCTACCCACCCATCAAACAAACAAACAAACAAACAAAAAACCAACCACCAAACCAACCAACCAACCAACCAAACAAACAAACAAGCAAACAAACCAAACAAAAAACCCAAACCCAAACCCACCCAAAACCCAACATCAACTTTAGTTTTACACAGTGGAATACTATGCAGCACTGAAGAAGAATGACATACTCATAAAATAACACACAGAATGGGGGAGTCTAAAGACCATTCTGACTCTCCCATGTTCGAGTGAAATAGGTCACAAAAGGACAATGACTACATAATATCACTACTGTGATGACAGAAAGGTAACTGAGAAAGGTTTGTATAAATGTTGGGGAGAAGATGGGACAAGGAGGGACCGGAGGAGGGAGAGGGTGGGAGAGTCACAAGGATAGCTGATGTTAGTGGGCACATGGGGTGAAGAAATCAGCAAGATGCCCAGGGAACTTGAGACAAGGTGGTAACATGCCCAGAATCAATAGTAACAAAATAAAAGGAGAGTTAGGAATGATTGTATGCAAACCAATTAAAAAAATTAAAATGATAAAGAAAATGTTATCTATAGCATTAAAAAAATCTTAAGTTTTAATATGTTTTGATAGAGTAGCAAGGGTAAAGGAGGTTTAAAAGAGGTTTCGTGTTAAAGTGTGAAGAGGATCTCTAATTTTGTTAGATAAATAGTAGAATTTCATTGCCAGCTAACCTTGATTTGATTAAGTTCAGATTTTGATTACCCTGTTTAATTTCCTTTGCGCTTGATCATGGACATCTGTATTGCTGCCTTTTGTTTACTCAGATACAATGAAGAAGAAGGTACAATGAAAAGATCAAAGATAAGGTTTTCTATTGGACAAAAGTTGCACGAAAAGGCAAGTGCCTGTCATCACAGAGGTTAAAGGGCAGCATTTTGGGGCACGTGTGCAGATCCTTTACAGGTCTCGTTGTTCAAGTTCTAGCAGGAAACCTGTCAGCCAGTGTGTGTGGGTTTTGCACACCTATTAATTTGAACGATGGTGATGAATTATGAGAGCTGCTGACGCACGTGCAGAACCGTCACTGGAAACATAAGCACTGTTCCCCTGGGTGGTCAGGGTGGCCAGATCCTGTCTCCAGAGTGGACGTCAAGGCAGAAGAGGGAACTTCTGCCGTCTTCCTCCACGGCCCTCTGTCTAGCCTGCCTTTCAAGAACCACCCTTCCCTGGAGGGCAAGAGACTCGCATCCACTCAGGATACTACATGCAGTTATAGAGACAGCATGTTTACTGAGATGGGAAATGGAGGGGTTCTTTCCTCGCTCCTGTGCGCGTCTTGAGGCTTCATCTGGGATTAGCTGCTGTGTACCCTGGAGTCAGAACCGACCCATAGCTGTCCTGCCAACGGGTTTTCAGAGGTAGTACACTGGATGGGAGGAGACTCCTCATCTTTCTCCAGCGAAGCAGCTGGTGGATTTGAACCACGTTGCTTTGAGACTGCACTGTAGCTTCTTACTCCTAGGCCACCAGAGCACTTTAGTCCAGGATTAGGAAGTGTCTGACACCCTGAAGGAGAGGACAGGACACACGATACCCATGACTCCGAAACAGCTACATCTTTTAAGGAAATGAACCAAATAGTTTATAGGTTCTCATTTCCAAAGAAGGAAGGCGGTGGAAGCTTGGGTGCCAGAGAGCTCAAGGGGGGGGGGGCTGGGCAGCTAACTTCAAGGTGGCACCTCGCTGGCCATTCACATCACCAGCGACTCCATGGAAGCAAGCGGACCAGCCTCTTCCTGCATGATTTGTTGTTGTTACGTGCCGTCGAGTCGCCTGCGACTCATAGAGACCCTATGCACAACATCCTTAAACTCTTCTCTGTCCTGTGCCAATTGCAAAGTTTCCGATACACTCATCCCCATTACCCCAGTCACTGAATCAATCCACTTCATAGGAGGCCTTCCCCTTCTGTGCTGTCCCTCCACCCTACCAAGCATGATGTCCCTTTCCAAGGACCTGTCCCTCCTTGCAACATGTCCAAAGTATGTTAGACGGAGCTTTAGAATCCTTGCCTCCAAGGAGCAGCCCAGTTTGACCCTTTCCAGGATGAATCTGTTTGTTTTCCTAGCAGTCCATGGTACCCTCAATACTCTTCTCCAGCACCACAGCTCAAAGGCATCAATTCTCCTTCTATCCTCCTTAGTCATTGTCCAACTCTCTGATGCATAACAAGTGATAGCAAAGACCATGGCCTGTATCAGATGCACCTTAGTCTTCAAAGAGACACCATTGCTCTTCAATACTTTGGAGAGGTCCCTAACAGCAGACTTTCCTATCGCAATACGTCTTTTAATTTCCTGGATACTGGTGCCAAAAGGATGTACTGTGGAGCCAAGCAAACTGAAGCTGTGAACAATCTCAATCTCTTCACCATCCATCCTGATGCTGCCAATTGGTCCAGTGGTGAAAATCTTTGTCTTCTTGACATTGAACCTCAAACCATATTGGAAGCTGTAGTCCTTGACACTCTGAAGCAGGTGCTTCAGGGCCTCCTCAGTTTCAGCAAGCAGGGTTGTGTCATCTGCAGATTTACAGCCTCCAAAAAGCTGCTGGAGGGTCACACAAGAGTCAGGTCTAATTTACTAGTACCAACAGAAACAGAGTTCTGTTAAATGAGTACAGTCTTGTCTGTGGGGTCCCTCTGGTGCCTTTTCTTAGACACTTGATGGTTAAAAAAGAAAAAAAAATTCCTGCTCTCTCACTCAGTCTTGTTGCGTTGAAACGAACTCACAGCTGACCTGTGACTGTTTCTGAGGCTCTCGCTCCCAAGGGGGGGAGACTGCTCATCTTTCTTCCCAGGAGCTCTGCTGGGAGAAAATGCCCTTTAACAAATGATACTCAACTTACCTCATTGCTGTCCAGGAAGAAACAACCCAGGGCTGGCCCTTCAGAGGCTACAGGAGGTTTTTTTGTCCCTTGGAGAAGTGGGTGGACAGGGAGGTGGAACTGCCTGTTTCTGCATGGATAGCTACAGGGCAACCAGAGCTCCCTAACAAATAGTAAAGAACTGAAGAACCAGATAATGTGAGTATGTCAGGATGCTGGGTTCTTAAACCTCAAATACTCAATTAACGAAAAAGCCTTTTAGAAGTGAACTGATAAGAATTGCCTTAGGAATGATTAGAGACATAGACGTCACTGGCAGTGACCGGAGATACTGCTTTTCGAAATCAACATTAGACACCCTTCTCTGCATTCCCAAAAGAACTGGAAGCTTTGTTAAAGTCAATTGCTAAAAGTGCATTAAGTTCTCTGTAAGGTGTGGTCAACCTAAAATGCTCATTTATAGGGAGTTCAGCACTAAATGGAATTTTCATTAATGTTTTCCAGAATTCAAACTTTCACATCCGAGACTGATTGAAAAGAATTTTGTTGCTGCATAACTGGGTAGGTGAAGTCTCTTGAACTTGGGCTAATTAATTTAGAAGACATGACAGAATGTATCTTAAGTAATGCGCTTTTATTACTTTCAAATCAAGCTAATATAAATGCACTTTTCAGAGAAATTCTGGAAGTATTTTATTAATGGATAGCCTGGAATAATTAGATCCAGTTAGTTTCTTAAAAAAAAAAAAATTGGCCTCCGCTCTATAGACAAAATATTAGCCTTTAGCCCAATCTCAGTTAAGTACTTAGAAACATCAAGTAATAGATGTTGGAGAGGATGTGGCGAGAAAGGAACTCTTATACATTGTTGGTGGGATTGTAAAATGGTACAACCATTCTGGAAGGCAGTTTGGCGCTTCCTCAAAAAGCTGAACATAGAAATTCCATATGACCCAGTTAATCCACTACTTGGAATATACCCTGAGAATATGAGAACTGAGGCACAAACCGAGATTTGTAGGCCAGTGTTCATAGTAGCGTTATTCACCATTGTAAGAACATGGAAACAGCCCAATGTCCAACCACAAACGAATGGGTTGAGAAATTATGGTGCATTCACACAATGGAATACTATGCAGCACACAGGAGAAATAACTTTGTAAATGATTACCTAACTTGGGAGGGACTAGAGAGCATTATGCTGAGTGAACTAATTCAGTCCCACGAAGATAAATATTATATAAAACCGTTATTGTAGAAGGAGTATAAGGATCCTGGAGGGGTGGGAGAGGGTGGAAGCAGAGGGATGTGGATGTGTGTGTGGGGGGGGGGGGAGGGGATTTATCATTGGGTTGTACAATTTAATGGGGGGTGAGGAAAATTGAAAGAATTTGTTCGAATATGTATTAGAATTTGGTAAATAAACTAGTGAAAAAAATACCATATATTAAAATGTAAAAAAAAAAAGTTGGCCCCACCCCCATAGACATAATAATAACCTTTAGCTCAATCTCAGTTAAAGGATTAGAAATTTCAGATCAATAGATGGATACGGAAAGTAGCCACATTTTAAACAACAATCTTGAAGATTATAAGGCATTGAGACTACTACACCTTTCCAATGCATACATCACCTCGACATTGCTAACAAGCTTCTGTTATTCTCTCACAGCTGTTGGATCGGAACCAACCCACGGCTGAGTCTCCATTGTCCGAGGCTGTAAGTCACCTGGGAGGTGACTGCCCATCTTTCTCCTGCAGAACCTCTCGGGCATGTATTTGAACCCTCACAGCCGCGTGGTCTGTGGTGGCCAGCAGCAAGGTTCACTGTGGGCTAGCCCATGAGAACTCAAGTGGAGCTCAGGGCTCCTTAATTTCATGTAAGAAAAGCAAGGAATTTGCATGACAAACCTTCCACAGGGAGAGCCAGGCACATCCTGATCTGAAGCCAAGCCAATACTTTGAGTTTTGGGGTTTGAGGTCAAGAGTTGGAGAAAAAGATGGCAGGTGGAGATGAGAGAAGGTAAAGGAACAGGACACAAGAAAAGAGGGTTCCCAAATGACAACACATTTTTTTTCCACTTAAGGTTCATCATGTGATAAGTGAGTTTCAAAAGTAAAAGGTGAACAAAACATTTACCAAGAAGAGAAATACTTATGAGTCCTTCCATGACTTTCATTGCACCCTCATGTCCCAAATTCTCTGGGGGCTTAGTGGTAAGGAACTGTACTGCCATCCAAAATGTATGCGGTTTGAATCCACCAGCTGCTCTGGGTGAAGATAGATGGGCACTTTCCTCCTGTGCGATTTCCTGTCCCTGAGAACTCAATGGAGGGTCAGCTAGGAGTCAGTTCCGAGTGAATGGCACACAGGAACTAGTGGAATGCCAGAGACAGGTCGGAGCTGATCTTCCAGTGAGTTCTAGGCTAGGCGGCTGGACCAAAAAGCCAGGTGTCAGAAGACACATGGTGATTTTGCTGATGAAACTGCTAACAGGCAAACTAGAGGTCCATTTTGAGAAGAAAGCTGACCACGGACTGCTAGAGTGCTGTCCTCAAGAACGTCCTGACCAGTGACAATACAGAAAGTCACTCTGAAAGCATTTTCAGAAGGAGCAGTAGCAAAAGAGACTCAAAGACCTTCCCAAATGGAACCTTTAATAGCTCCCATATTTTCTTAGAGGAACAGGCTATGACAGAACAAACCCTGTCTCCTCAGACGGCGGCTAAAACAGGAGCAGTGGTTCTTTTTCAGGTGTGACCATAAAGGGAGGTCTGGTGGCTGGCTGGTAAGGAACTGCACTGCCAGCTTGAAAGGGTAAGGTTCAAATCCACCAAAAGCTTTGTGAGAAAGATGGGCAATCTCCCGGGCAGCTGGCTGCCTGTGGCCTCTGAAAACTCCCAGGAGGTTCAGCACTGAACAACTTATTACAAAGCATCTATATTTTGTAACCCAAAGTAGTTGTTGTTACGTGCTGTTGAGTTGCTTCTAACTCACAGTGACCTTATGTACAACAGCTCTGAACTCTGCTCTACCCTGTGCCAACCTCACTGTCTCCAACACACCTACCCCCATTATTCCAGTCACTGAGTCAATCCATCTCATCGAGGGTCTTCCTCTCCTGTGCTGTCCCTCCACCCTCCCAAGCATGACGTCCCTCTCCAAGGACTCCAAAGTAAGAGGTTTAATTGCTCCCCTTTATAATTTATCTCTCATTTAGTTATTTTTGAGTTGGGAGAAATATATCAATCAGTTCTTTTAAAACATTATTTTTTAAAAAAATTAATGAAAGTTTACAAATAATTTTGGTTTTCCTTTAATTGATAGCTGCTTTTAGAACATTCATTACCATTGATCTGCATAATTAATCCCAATGCTGATCAACTCTTACTGAGTTGATTATTGAGTATTGCCTTTCTCTTTACTCAGCTCTTAATTTCCCTCCCTCCCTCCCCTCTTCCCACGCCTGCTAGCCCATCAAAATAGATTCTTCACATTGGTAAACTGAGGCGCACAAGCAGCCCCTGGGATGATCTTGAGCTGGCCCTGAGTCCTCATTTCAACACACATTGAAGAGTGTATTCCTGGAGGGCTCTGGGGAGGAGGTGGGGCGGAGAGGAGCTGAGCTCTGTGCTCACTGGACGCCGGGCACTCACCTTGCAGCCTTCACACGTGATGCAGCGGTAATGATATCCCGTGGCCTTGTCACCACACACCACACACAGCTCGTCCTTGTCTAAGTAACTGGGTATGTACCCTGTGAAGGAGGAAGGAGAGGGAGTGTGAACTACCAGACACAGCAGAGTGAGAGCCACTAAAGCTGGAGGCAACACTGGCTTGCCCACAAGAGGTGGAATAGAAAAGAAATAATGGGCAGTAAGGATCTTAACACTTCAGTGTTAATATATCAGGCCCAGAATTTCAGAGAGACTTAGACAAACGTGTAACCCTCCTGCTTTGCAGGTGGGAAGGAAATGGGAACCCGAGGACTCATGGCCAAGAGCCCAGGCTCGCAGACCCCTGGGATACTTCCAGTTCTCCTTCCCAGGCCTCCTTTTATTTATTTATTT